TACAACTATTCTGTTTCGTGATTCTACTTTATTGCAACCAAACTATTTCTTATGTATTGCATAGGCGAAGTGAAGAATATATAACTAGCACATTACAGTCATCTTGTTTACTTACATATCGGCCATTGTGAATTTCATACACAGGTATATGATGAACACTACACAATTACTTGCGCAGCAAATTTTATTATGATTAACGTGCATAGTAGTTACGCAATTTCTAATTTTTATCTCTTTATATCTGTAATTTCGAACTGAAACATAATTATTTAATATTAAGTAGAGGAATAAATGTTTGCCCAACATGGCGGGTGGTTGTGAATAATCATGGCATCGTCCATGTTGTCTTCAGTTTATTAGAATATTTTGGTGTTGCCTACAGGTGTTATACAACAATTTGACAAATGTCTGAAATGAAATACCGACAGAGTCGAATGACTTACCCAGAATTTGTACCAGATCTATATCTTCTGTTTGAACAGTTGATAGAACCTTTTGAACCAATATGCTGCGTTGTTTGTCTTCAAAACAACAATGCGCGGGTTTGTTTTATAAACGTTATCATGGATGCCACAATACAATCATTTTGACTAACGTGCAAATATGCCGTTTAAAATAGTTGTATAAATGTTTATGCAACAGTTAAAAATTTGTCCTATAAGGTGTTGTATAACTATGCTAAAGAATATTTTAAACACATTTTAGAGCAAATATGTTGCAGAAAGCAAATTTGCATTCTACACAACATTAAGCCAGCATTTGGGTGTTCAGGCAACAACAATAGAGAGCTTTTATGGCTGAACGGTTCTTTTACCAAAAGCTTACAGCATTAGTTGGGAGATCATACGCTTGTAGTAGTAGTAATGGCGAGGAGGCGAAGCTGTGCAGCCGAACCTTAAGCCGACTCTGCTCCAGCTTACACAAATTCAATTGTGCCGAATATCCTACATCTTAGACCGCGATAAACTGCACATATGCCTAAAACGCGGTGTGGTGTCTCTACCTCTTCTCGGCATATATGTTGTTGGTGGCGAAACGTCTTTTCCAGTCCGCAGTGGTCCGTAAGAATAACGTCTGAAGTTTGCTGGCTAAAGCGTCCGCCATTTATCGATTTTTTTCCTTCCTAGGTATATCGACGTTCATATCATTTATTTTTGTTAATAGCCGCATTTTGAAGATCTGTATTACCCGCCACTGGCCTATACTTCCAAGCTACTCTTTATGAGGATGGCAAGGACCGAGATGCGGATTTGAAGCTCAATTAGTATGTTGATGAAACTGTTCAAAATGGTGGCGACATCAGATGTATATATATATACAGGGTTATCCAAATTAAGTGTCCACCATTAGTAACTTTTGTTATTAGTGAAAATACAAAGTTGTTTGAATTAGCAAACTAGTAGCATTTTTAACGCTGGTAAAAATGAGAAATAAAAAAAAACAATTGAGAGTCGTTATTTTGATTTTTTTCAGTAAAATAACATTTTTTTAAATGGAAACCCCTGTATATTATATTTTTTTCTGTTAAAGCATCAAATTTTAAACAAAAAAGTTCACAATGACTTTTCCGCTAAAGTCAAAAATAAAGTCAAAATAACGATAAATATTTTTAATTATTTGCAGTATTATAATATTAAGACGGCTATGAAAACAACATGGCGTTCGCGATTTGACAGCATTAAGATAAGCGACAAATTGTTAAACTGGACATACTCGCAACTAGAAGGCTTTGGAAAACAATGATAAAATCAAATAATGTCAAACATTAGTGTAAATACTTGTTTATAAGCTTTATTGTGTCATTAATTTAAATAAAAATGTTCTCCCATGAAGAAAAGTGTGATATGTTAGAATGCTATTTAGTGTGCAGAAAATCCTCCTTGAGAGCAAGAGAATACTACAGTGAATTATATCCCGCTCGCATTCAACCGTATGAACGATATTTTCTGAGACTTTATCGAAAATTTAGGGGCAACGAAAATGTTTTTGCTAAAACAAGGGCAAAAAAAGAATTCATAATAAGCGAGGCCACGGAAATTGCAGTAATTGGATATTTTGAAGCTTATCGTGAGAATTCAATAGCAGATATTCTCAAGGACTCTAATTTCAGTTATGGTACTGTTCAAAGGATTTTAAAAAAATACAAATTTATTCCGTATAAGTACCGACCAGTTCAAACGCTTTTGGCAGGGGATCCAGAGAGAAGACTTGTTTTTTGCCATTTAGCTTCTGTCGCCAAAATGTAAATAACTTTCGTTACCTTTTATGGACAGATGAATCAAATTTTTCAAATTCTGGAATGTTTAATAGAAAAAACCACCATTATTGGTCAAGAGAAAATCTTTTGTTAGTACATCCAAGAGGCCCACAAGTCCGTTTCAGTTTCAACGTTTGGTGCGGTATAATTGGTTCAAAAATTGTTGGCCCGTTCTTTTATGAGGGAACCCTAACTGGTGAAAGATATGTGGAATTTATGTCAGAAATTCTGACTAATTTCTTAGACGAATTGGATCTTATAAGTAGACATCATCTGCATTTTCAGCAAGATGGCGCACCTGCCCACAACTCCAGAGGTACTTATCATTTTCTAAGTACTACTTTTAATGATCAGGGGATAGGAACAAATGGCCCAATACAGTGGCCTCCCAGATCACCAGATCTAAACCCACTTGATTACTTCTTGTGGGGTTACTTAAAGAACCAAATTTACAAGCGAAGGTACGATAACCTTGACGCGTTAAAGACTGCAGTTAGGGAAAAGATAACCCAGATAGATGGTAGGACCATACTTAAGACAGTTCGAGCAGTTGAAAAACGTGCCCAAAAATGTATTGAAGAACAAGGTGGTGTTTTCGAGCATCTTCTTTAAAAAAAATTGTTATTGTATTTTGTAAGATTATAAGTTGATGTTGAAAATAAAGTTTGTCGATACAATTTAATTGTTTCAGATTGGAGGCCATAACTTCAACAATTTGTAACCTAGGAGAAAAGTTATTGTAAGCTTTTTTGTTTAAAATTTGATGCTTTAACAGAAAAAAATATAATATACAGGGGTTTCCATTTAAAAAAATGTTATTTTACTGAAAAAAATCAAAATAACGACTCTCAATTGTTTTTTTTTATTTCTCATTTTTACCAGCGTTAAAAATGCTACTAGTTTGCTAATTCAAACAACTTTGTATTTTCACTAATAACAAAGTTACTAATGGTGGACACTTAATTTGGATAACCCTGTATACAGGGTGACTTTGAAGTTGAGTCATTAATTTTCAGATAATGATTGTAGAAGGAAGATAAATCAAAATATGTTTGTAAAAATAAAAAAAAAAATAAAAAAAAAATTTACCTTGTTTTATAAAGTATCCTCCCGACAAGTATTTCAGTGCGGACCTGTATTTGATCGTGAGGTACCCTGTGAGGTCTTAAGTCACCTGATTCACGAGCCCGTTGTACTACATTAACAAAGTCACGAGGGGTTGGTTGCACTCGATTGGGAAACCGATCCGCATAAACATGTGCCATTTTTTATTTCGTTTGAGCCACGCAACAGACACTATTCACACGCGACTGACACTGACTGTATGTATAACTGAACTGAATAAAATAATTGTAAAAAAATCGTTCCAAATTCTTTCGCTTTTTTGTTTCCGATGCGATGAACCGATAACGTGGACTATATCCGTTGTTGCCAAACACCAGCACATGATATTATTATTGAGACAGGGCGGTACTCAAACTTCCAAAGGGCTATAACTTTGTTACTTTAATTTTACCAGAAAAATGGTAAAGGAAAAAAACATTTCTTTTGATCACTGTTAAAATAAATGACTCAACTTCGAAGTCACCCTGTATATATATATATATATATATATATGGCGAGTTTCTGCAACCTAAGGTCGCTTCTCGCAACCCATACGCCATCGTATCCTATCGTTCCAGTCTCCTTCATGTAGTCCTCTACTTTCCATTGCGGTATGGATGTTTGAAATCCATTTCCTTCGTGGTCTTCCTCGTTTATTTCTTTGTGCTGGTGTCCATTTCCAAACCCTTATTGGTATCCTTTCTTCGTTCATTCGTTGCAGGTGTCCATACCATTTTAACTGCCTCTCTGTTATATCGTCCATTATTGTATTTTCGACTTCCATTCTTTCTCTGATGGTCTCATTTCTAACATGGTCAAGTAAAGTTAAACCGGAACATCTTCTCCAGTACATCATTTCGGTTGAGAGAAGCTTTTGTGGCATATTTTTATCTACAACCCACGCTTCTGACCCATACGTCAGTACTGGCTGAATCATAGCCTGATATATAATTTTTTTTTTGTTTTCTTTGTTAGGTTCTTACTCCACAAGATCGGATGTAGTGCTTTAATCATATTTTTTCCTTTTCCTATTTTCTTTAGTATGTCTTTATTATCCTTTCCGCTTTCATCTATTGTAACTCCTAGGTACTGGTACTGTCCGACGTTTTCTATTTTTCCGCTTTTTGTTTCGATGTCTTGTCCTGTGCCTCCTATAGTCATGTATTGTGTCTTTTGTATATTTATCTCCAAACCCCATTTAGTGAATTCTTCTATAAGTTTGTTTATCATGTAAGTCATGTCTTGCTGGTCTTCTGCAAAGACTACCTGATCATCTGCAAAGAGGATTGTATACAAGTGAAAGTCCTCTAACCATATCCCCATGGGGCTGCACTTTCTTATCCACTGTTTTAAAGCGCTGCAGAGATAAATTCACAAACATCAGATATTCTGTTTATAAATGATCATATATTTCTAACGCTGAAGTTACGTACTCCTATTCCCTCAAAGAACATCTGATGTTATCACCTCACAGATGTTTAGATACAAAGTCTTCAATTCTCTTGGTTGCTACTCGCCACTTTCATGCAGTTGTCCCTATCTCTGCAATTATCTGCTGACATGTCTAGGCTAATGATGACCTGACTTCCGCTAACACCCGACCTAGTTCTAAGTCTGATGAATGAACGTCTATCTTTAGTCAAGCAAGGTGATCGGCCCCTTTGATACCCTACTTGGCACAATGGCTTGCAAACCAGAGCAGGACCGCACACAAATCTCTTTGAATGTTTCTGAGGAAGTTCAGCCTTCATTGTCTTTAAAAAGCATATACGAGGTATGTTCAAAAAGTATCGCAAATTTTGAATTCAGTGTTTGACAGCTACTGTGCGTGGACGTGTTTTAGCTTGTCTGCCATTTTTGACTATTTCTATTTGTATTAAATTTTGTGTAAAGAACTTGAAGTGCGCAGACATATACCAAATGTTGACTGTTGCATACGGCAAAGCTACTTTGGACAAAAGCAATGTTTATTATTTTATGGCAACATTTTCCAAATTTTTGACAGGCACATACCTCTGTATAAGAATTACAGTCACCGCCTTGGTTTCACTCAGCTATTATTAAGAACATCAAACTTAAAGATAAATTTAGGAAAAAAATCAACAGGTCTGCTTTTGTTGATGATCTACAAGAATTCAAACGTTTGCACCGCTTGATAAAAAACCAGATTAAATCAGCGTATGATCAATATATTGAAAATATTCAGAATTCTTTAACAATTAACCCCAATGCTTTTTGGTCATACGTTCACTCCAAAAACAACACGTCACGAATCCCAGGGATAATGAAATGTCAAAATAATTCTATAGATCAGCCTCAGGATATAGTAAACGCATTCAGTTTTTCAGCAGCGTCTATGTCACTCACAAGCCCCATAATAATGCCTCACTAAATGATAGTAATTTATTTGTCCATTTTCATCCAATTGAGGAAAATGAAGTCAGGAAGGCCATTAAATCACTAAAGGATAAGATGACATCTGGTCTAGATGGCATCCCGTCCTTTATAGTCAAAGATTGTGTGGAAGTGTTTGTTAGTGTTCTAACTAGGATTTTTAATATTTGTCTTATAACAAAAAGATTTCCAGATATTTGGAACATCGCTAAGGTCTGTCCAGTGTTTAAGTGTGGGGATAAGTCAAATATTGAGAATTACAGGGCAATCTCTATATTATGCATGTCCTCGAAAGTCTTTGAAAAAGTCTTGTACAGTCGCATTTACACTGCCGTCCAGCGTCAGCTGTCATTGCATCAACACGGATTTGTCGCTAATCGCTCAACAACCACAAATCTATTCATGATAACGCAGTACCTCTCGGAAGCCATTGATAGTAATGAGCAGGTTGACGTTATTTATACCGATTTTTCGAAGGCTTTCGATAAAATTAACCACAAAATTTTATTAAATGAGTTAGGTGCACTTGATTTCACAGATGATGCTAGGGAGTTGATGAAATCTTACTTATCCGATCGTAGACAATTTGTTAGCTATAATGGCTTCCAATCCTAGACCTACTTGGCACCTTCTGGAGTTCCTCAGGGGTCCAACCTGGGACCATTACTGTTTTTGATATTTATTAATGACCTCTGTGACTCAGTTGAATGTGAGCGCCTATGCTTTGCTGACGACCTAAAAATTTATTCGCAGATAAATACTCCTGATGATTGTATCAAGCTACAACACCAATTAAATTTTGTGCTATCTTGGTGTGTAGAAAACAAGTTGGTGCTTAATGTGAGGAAGTGTAAAATAGTCAGCTATACCAGGAAAATTAATGTTTGCGAATATCCGTACTCTATTGATGGGTCTGTGCTAGAAAGATGCTCTGATGTACGTGATTTAGGTATAATCTATGATCAAAAGTTAACTTTTAGTCAGCATATAAATAAAAAAGCATCAGAAGCATTGGAGGCTTATGGTTTCATAGTAAGGAATTGCAGGAATTTGATAACATAAAGTCTATTAAGCTATTATATTATGCTTATCTGGCAATCATAAAATATTCGGGCTTCCTAGAGCTAGGACAAACATTCTTCTCAAGTCACCGTTATATGTAATGTGCTCTAACTTAAACAGAATTGGATGTTACTGTGATATATTTACGACAATAATTACCTGCTAAAGGCAGCTAAGGATTATTCGCACCAATAGCTCATGTTACTAATTTATACCTGTGTTGCATTTGTTGTTTTCTTTTCGCTTTTTTTTTTTTTGCTTTTGTATTATGTTTATAAGTTGTCCTATAAATGGGAAACTGTTGGACAATAAAGCTATTATTATTATTATTAAGACTGGAAAAAACGTTATCACATGTGTATAATGTCTGATGGGGATTACTTCAAAGAGGACAACATAAATTATCATGAATAAATAAATAATTCTTGAAAAAACATGAAATTCGCGATACTTTTTGAAAAAACCGCGTATCCTGGTTAGGTACTTTTACCGCTAAATGCATTGCAACCACGGTTTCACGTAAGTTGTCATGATGAACAGGCAGATATCTAACAGAGCTGCCTTTTCTTTATTAGAAGGTTTGCGCTGGGAACTTACTAACGCTATTTTTCATGAATAGATTGCTATGGCAATTCATCGCGCTTGATGCATGGCACCTGGAGGTCGAATCTTAAATTTTTTCTTCCCTATCTCCACCAAGGAATATTATTGAATGTTCTATTAATTCTCGATAGTACCTAGTCTCTAGCAACTACTTTGGTCAATTCATGTCGATATCGTTCTAGCAGCTTGGAACCTCTTGCGCTAACGTCCTGTAATTATAGATCTAGAGGAAATCTGCTAATTTTCTTCCTCGAGGGAAGAGGTTCATCTGAATTTTTTAAGGCTTTTCAGAGCCTCATACCCTCAAGATTGTGTAACATATGCTAGAAGGCCCCAGTGTCGCGTACATGCTCTTTGTTCTAGCTACGATGACGTCGATGGTACCTGTTATATACTTGATTGCAGTGGCGGCTCGTGGCAAAATAAAACAGGTGCTCTGCAAATCCAAACTTACCTATTTTTTATATGTCAGTTCGATCCTGCGCTCGTTCTTGGCAGCAAATTTGTCGATCACCTTCCCGTTGGGCGGGGCCTCGGTTGGCCGCGTTGGTCAGAGTGTCGTGCTACTGATCAGCCGGTCGGCCGGGCCGCGAGTTCGAATCTCGCCTTCGCCATGGATGTTGTGACGTCGTGTGTTTGTCCATAATTAGAGAAATATAAGTAACACACATCTGTGGCAAATGGATAACTTCCAATGCCAATTATATGTCAAAAAAAAAAAAAAAAAAACCTTCCCGTTGAAATTTTACCATGGTCGAAATAAATTCCTTTTCAACGGACAGCAGCGACAACGCTGTAAGGCGATCCTGGGTCATAGTATTTCGAACAAAGGTCTTGAATCTTTTTAATGTTGAGAAATTTCGCTCAGCCTCTGATGTTGACATATGAGTTGTAACAATAATTTCTGATAGGTTTTTTGTTTCTTTTAGTGTTTCCTTCAAACCATTTTGTATCAAAAATTTCAAAAGAGACAGAGTTCCATGTAAATTTCGGCAATCATTCCGTGTATAAATAACAGACAACTCTGTCTTTAAACGACTTTTTTCTAATTCGGGATAAGCCAAGCAGGTAGTTTCCAACTTGTCATCAGGAAGCTTACCACAGTATTCTCGAAAGTGTTCGGGGAGAAAAGGGATGCGTCTACCAAATGATCTTTGAATTGAAATCTGTCATTTGCAGAATTCACTATATTGTCGCATACTTCTAATGCGGCAACTCCTTGATCGTGACTGCTATTATTACGTCGTCTCCTTTTGTTGCCTTGGGGTTCAGTGCAAATGCTTTTGGCTTCATTTATTATGTCATCAATTTTATTTCTCACATCGACAATATATGTTTCAAAATTATCGATAGCCGTTTTAACTTGCGCTGGCTCGGTTTTCCTCTTCTGCAACTGGTTGAACAAGATGTCGATGTAAGGCATGACATGATGAAAAAATGTCAACTAAAACACGAAAACAGAATCGTTTAACATTCGGCGAATACCGTAAGCCGCCTTGCAAACGGTTTCGTTAGTGAAATTTTCTTCTATTTCTTTCATGCATTCAATGAGTGATTCTCTGTTCTCAAACACTACATTTATTGCTCGAATATTAAAATTGTTGTTGCAAAAATTTCTCGCATTCAAATTTTAAGTCACGTCACTCGACAAGACCAATATGCCGATACCGCCCGAGGACCGAGCACCTACCGACCAATCCGTTATCGTACGTCGCATTAGATCTGTACGGATCTGTATGACTTGCAGCAATGCTTATGCTTAAATCGCGCATTTGATTTTGCAGAGAGAGACAAAAGCAAGCGCGTACGGCTTGTGTCGAAGTAGTGCACAGACCCTTTTCAAGTGGCCCATGAATAACGTTACGCTGCGGTCGCGACGGAAACGACAAGTACACGATTGGTCGATTATAATGCTTTCTCAGTACAAAACAGACTCGACGCCGTATCTTGCGGGGGCAGCGTTGCCGGTATTGTTTCTATCTGTGTGATAACATGGAAAATAAATAATGATCAAATTAGTACAGCTTTTTTTGGCAGTTCTGCATCTCTGCAGAACTTAAGGGCCAGCCGCCACTTCTTGATTGCCAAATATTTCGGTGTGTGTACTTGTGGTTGCAAAAGACATTTCTAGGATTGCACATTTTGAATTCTGACATTCGATATACACCTATATTTTCCGTTTCCGTTTTTAGCCTGTGCGTATTTTTCCGGAAGTTAATTCGACTGTTATTGTGGGAGAAATGTACTTTTGTGATTACAAGAGTATTTCCGAGGACCCACTGTTTTAACTACATTTGAAACTACATACACAGCGGTACCGTTCCTCTCTAGTACTCCTTCCACCAGTATCAGCTTCCTGATATGACAAAAAGCTACCATATTTCCGAACTTGCACGAAGTAAGATTAATCTTTCCCGGCTCCGTTTCATAGGGGATCATATTCATGAGCCAGGCTAGCATGAAGCATTATCGTACAGTACGTCGCGTTCGCCGCATATTCATTCAGTGCGAAATTTTCATCACGTAACACGATTACGAAGCTAAGTGTAACATGTTATGCGCCGAACCGATAGGCCATCATCAGGTGACCGACTGACAACACCAGCAAAATCGGCTTTTACGGCGCATCCGTTGCGATGGGACCATGACGGGAGGGTAGATTTGACTTTATGCTACGTTATTATTGCCGCTCGTACTTATTTCGGTCAAATTATG